TTAGAATTTTCTTAGGCTGATTTCGATGGCCCGAGTCCTTTTTTGACATATGTTTAGTGAAATTCTAAAGTTTTAACGTAGTTGACTACCGAAGCGTCTCAGTTGACTTTTTAGCGTTGACCATTGACTTTTCGTTGACTATTTACGAAAATTGTCCGGGACCTTTCTTAGCGTATTTCGATGTGCTGATTTTGAATCCGCCGTTCATTTCTCCAAATTCAAACATTTTAATTGAGGTTTACTAATGGGTCTCAATATTATGCTTAAGTGCAATTACTATCGGAGACTTCGACTTCCTAGCTTGAACGGATGTGACATCACAAGTAACTGTGAGTGGATCTTTTCTTTGATGTATACATATATTTATTTAGTTTCCATATACACATCTAGTAATGAATTTTCTATATGACTGCCATAATTAAATTAATATTTATAGGAAATGACGTAACGATGAGAATTAGGAAATCATTATAAATCCTACAGGATGCTTCGATTAGAATTACAGCTATGGATAATATTATGTTGACTAGAATTATTGAATTGTTGTGGCATGACTATATTTATGTTATTTGCTCATCATTTGTTGCACTGGTGTTAGTACTCGCTCAGGTCAGAGCCAGTTTTTACTTGCATGTGCGCATTGCACCATACGCTTACTTTGGATCCATTGTAGGTGCCAATCCTATTCTAGATTGTTATAGGCAATTAGGATTCGTATATGCTGCGCATAGCACCAGTCTTCACATGATTGTAGTACTATAGTGTATACCATTATTACACCCAGTCATTTTCATGTCAGAATATCTCAATATGAACTCGTGTGTCAGCATCTGTCAATGAGCACTCGATGTGATATATTTATTTATGCGAAATATTGTGATTACTAAAAGTTATGCTTATCTACAAAATTTGTGACATATTGGAGTCTTGAGATATTGTAGGCTATGGTAAGTATTGTCATACTATACATAGTATGTATATTTTGGACACTATACTTGTTTTACGGCGAAGGGTTACAATGTTTTCAAAAAGGTTTTTATAAAATTTTATTTTTTGGCTCACACACCCTTGTTTTTCGCCCCTCCAGGTTTAGTAGTTGTGCTTTCTTGTCGACGAGGACTCTTGTCAAATCTCAGTATAGGTGGTTACTTCTGAGGGTATAATTCTTATCCTACTTTACTGTACTTTACTTATGTTCTGACATCACGTGTGAAATGAGTTCATTCCCGCTCAAAAGTGCACTCTTATACTTAGGCTCTTTTAGGCTTAAATTTATTCATATTTTCCATATCACTACACTTTATGACTTCGTCACCTTCTTGGTGTCAACCAGCACAACTCGATTCAAAGTCCAGATAGACATTCCGAATCAAGGTGTGTCAACCATAATCTCTCCATTGCATCTTGAGATGCCAGTTGATAGATGATAACTTTAAAGAAAAATTAATGAAAATAGCTTGAAAACTTTTAGTTTTAACGATAAGGACAAAATAAAGGGTAAAGTGAATAGTATCAGGTTTGACTTTTTAGTGTAAAAATGTGGTTTTTCGTTAAAGTGCATAGTACCGTGAACTTTTCGTTAAAACTCCCTAATTTTAAAAGCATGGAAGTTTAATATAGTCGTATACATATTTTTTGTTGGTATGGAAGTACAGTCATATATACTTAGATACTAAGAAACATGTTATATATATATATATGTACAGTCATATTTACTTAGATACTAAGAAACATGTTTTATATATATATATATGTATGTGTGTATGCATGTATATATTTGTTAAGCCTTGACTATCTGTCTGAGTGTCTGTAGCTTTTGATTCCACTCCAAACTCCAACAAGCAAAAGCATCGTGCCATTAAAAAAAGCTTTCTTTTTGTAAAGTTAATCTGGACAAAGCTCGACTTATATACTTTGGTAAAAAAGAAAAGAAATTAAAGGTAAGATAAGATTCTAGGTCTATCATTGCTGCTGTGGTGTGTACATGAGCGCATTAACCTCTTAGTTTTTGACATTTTGGTACTTAAATTTGAATAACACATATCTTTGTTTCAATATATAAACTTATTCAGTATTCCGTTTATTTGTTTCATTATTTACCTTGAAAAGAAAGAGTCTGTTAGTGCATGGTAGTTGTTTACTTCACACCTGTATGGAATATTGTCATTAGCATACAAATATGACGTGAATGTGAATCGTTAACGATAGTTAGATAGTCTCATACACGTTTCCAATATCTCAAGCAAACCTTCTTTTTTTATTCTTTTCATACAAAGGTGATTTATGCAGTCATTTTCTCTTCCTTTTTATATACTCATGTTTATTTCTTATCTTTGAACTGAATGAATCAAAGAAAAAACAAGAGACAAAAACTAACAAGATTGTAGAATGAAAAAAAAATAGTTGTGAGCAATTCATTTTTCTTTTTACGTGACGTGCGGTGCTGTGAGCAATTGTAAGGCAAAAATACGTATGTTATTCCATAACCACCTCTTAAACAAGGTTTAATATTCTAAGTAGGGCAAAAAATACAAACAAAACCAGCTCAATTCTTCCACTTCATAATAAGTACAAACAATGCATGATTTCATGGGAAATTTCATCTTAAGCAAAGATAAAGTGTAAAACGACAATCTTTGTTGGTGTTTTGTATAACAACTCTATCTAGTCGTAACAGCAAAACCCAATGCCCTCTCTGTCAAACATGGTCAACGATTTGGTCAAGCAACCGTCCCAAGCAACACAAAGCCACCAAATAACATGTGGAAATTAATGTCGTTTTTAAGTTTTTTGACACTAATATTTTTTTATAAATATTTTTAAATAAATAACATTAAGAATTCAAGACCATGTTTTACTCAACAATAATACGACCAAATTATTTGTCTTGTTATTATTATATTGCATTTGATTTAATTTTGTAGTCATCAAGTATGGAATGGTAGGTGTGGCTAAGTACAAAAGTAGATGGAATGTCAAGCAATAATATGGATCATTAACTTCTTCATTCTTATTAGATATATTTCACCAAACTAGGTACTGTTTCATTGCATATATGAAAGTTGGGAAACCAAAACTTATCAAAGTATTACGAATCACCACGTGATTAAGGACAATCGAGTAGTTATGCAAGCAACGAGGTTCTTGAATCAAAAGATCTATGTGTGAAACAAGATGGACATGAAGCTCGATAAGAAGTTAATAATTAAATGACACATTAATTTTAACTATTAAATTTCTTCTTCACGTTCATAACTTTCAAAATAGTAGTAACTTGGGCTTAGCTAATTTGGTGAGAGCAATATATTCTCTAAACCTCTTTTCATAATTTACTTAATTATATCGTAATTTAGTTTAAATTTTTGTTACCCATATATAGGCTTTCTAAAAACATGAGTATGAGAATGTTTCATTTGTTCAATTTTACTTTTTATATAAGAAAAAGTCATAATTATAAAAAATAATCACATATTATGACATACCATATGTCCCTATACCTGTCAATGGATAGGATTTTGACCCAAATTTGAATTGAATCCGATATAATTACGGATATGGATCGTAATTTCCAATCCGATTATTCCTATAAGAGCTGAACCCCATAGTCTAATTATACATGGACCCGGATACGAATCGAGGCTGATCCAATTGGATTTAATATAACATATTATTTTATTTTTATATTATTCACTTTTGTATAATGGTAATTTAAGTTTTTTATGCAATAAAAATACACTTATATTATATTTTCTATTATTCATCATGAAAATTTTAATTAAAAATAGCAAAATATAATAAAAGAATGAGATTACTAGTGATATTTTCATCTTTTCTAGGTCTTAAATTTAATCCGATAAATTTGATTCCGAACCTAATCGGATTTGGAATGACAAGTCAAATTGATCCGAATAAGTACCGAATTTGTATCTGATTATAAATGTATTCAATATGGATCAAGACCGATTCAATCTGAATCCAACCCGTTTACAAGTCTATATGTCACACTATTTATTGATTACAAACTGCACCAAAACTTAAAAAAAAAAAAAAAAAAAAAAAAACTACACTAAAACTTAAAGAGAAACGCTAGTTACACTCCCGTTTGTACCTTCTCTTTTTACCATTTTCTTTATTTTTAAGAACTTTTAATATCACTTAAACGCTAGTTACATTTCATTTGTAAATTCATTTGGTGAAAGCTCTTTCGCCGACAAAATCAATTTTGTTGGCTCAAAATTCAATTGTTAGAGATGATTTTTCTAGTAGTGTGATAATCTTAAAGGAAAACTAATGAAAAAGGTTTGAAAACTTTGAGTTTTAACGATAAAGATAAAATAAAGGGTAAAGTGAATAGTACCAGGATTGACTTTTTAGTGTAAAAATATGGTTTTTCGTTAAAGTAAACAGTACTGCGAACTTTTCGTTAATTATTTTTTTAAATTACCATTCAAGATTATCTTTACAAAGAATTAACTAATTCGAACTCATTTAGTCATCTAACTTGCTGTCCAATAAGAAACGAATCATATTTTATGGTTCAACAATGAAATCATGACAATTAATCAAACAATTAACTAAATTTTGATTCTGTTAATTTTTTAAACAGTTCATCTCTATAGACAGCTGGTCTATAACGATTTCGATCATCTAAGTAATATTATAGAATCTTAAAAATAAAGAAAAATGTAAAAGGAGAAGGTAATATTGTAGAATAAAAAACGACAAAAGTCACTAGAATTTGGTGAAGATTGGAATGATTGATGAATACAAAGCAAAAACAGGTGGGCGTGTGCGATGTGAACGTGAGTCGTGACATGGTGCAAAAACGAATGGCGGGACCATCTCTTCTCTACTCACTTCCTCAACCAACTTACGAAAACTGGAATCTTGTCCTTCCAAACCAATCCCATGGTTTCACCACCCCACCATCACTCCTACTCTCTCTCTCTCTCTCTCTCTCTCTCTCTCTCTCTCTCTCTCTCTCCTCCGCAGACAGATAGAGGCAGTGAGGAGAGAAGGAGTTGCCCAGGCGCAACCCCCTCACTTTATCTCCTTGCCGGGCCCCACTGGCCAATTGCGCTCTTACCCATGTGGAAAAACATTGGACCCCCTGTCCCCTCAGAGACTCCTCCTCTCTCTCTCTTCTCTCTCTCTCTCTCTCTTCACTTGCTCTCCACCATGTTCTAACTAGTAACTTCTGTTCTTCTCAGTATATTTTATTTTTTGTTCCATTATTAGGGTTTGTTTGTTGGATTCACTTTTCCTTTTTATTCAAATGTTTTTTAATCCCCCTCAGTGCCTCTGCAACTTTATCTCTTTGTAATTACTCACATATTCACGACCTTTTTCGAGTTTTTCCTCTTAGCCAATTTTTATGGTCTCTCCGTCTCTCTTCCATCTTTTCGCACCGCCATGGAGGTTTCCCTTCTCCTTCTCTCTCTCCTCCTCCTACTCATCCCCTCCTCTGCTCAAATGCCTGGTACCCTTCTCTCTCTTTTGAATCTTTACGCTTTACTCACATGATTTTAGTGTTCTAGCATTTTTCTTCGTTGAACTGATTGAATCCGAACAATTGTACTAAAAAAAAAGCATGATTTTTTAGTATTTTTAGTACAATTTTAGCTTGTTTCTTAGTTCCTAGAAAAACCCTGTTCATAAATTGTATGAAAATTACTTTAGAAGTGAAAAATCGGCTTAAGTTTTACTGAATTCAGCCATGGATCACAAGTTTCTAAGTTTTTTATTAAACCCGTGTTTTAGTTTTACTCAGTTAGTCAAAATTCCTTTATAAAGTTCCTTCCTTGTGTAATTTGAAGCAGGATTTGTGAGTTTGGATTGTGGAGGTGAAGAAAATTTCACTGATGATCTGGGTCTGGAATGGACTCCTGATCAGCTCAATTACGGCGAAACGGCCTTTATAGCTGTTTCAAATGAATCGAGGAAGCAATACTCGACGGTGAGGTATTTTCCGGCGGATCCGAGAAAATATTGTTACACATTGAATGTCACAAGTAGGACTAGGTACCTTCTAAGAGCGACATTCTTGTATGGTAACTTTGACACCAATAATGCTTATCCCAAATTTGACATTTCTGTTGGGGCAACGCATTGGTCTTCGATTGTAATTTCGGATGCCAATACGATAGAGATGCGAGAGCTTATATTTCTGGCTATGAGTCCGACTGTAAGTGTGTGTTTGTCCAATGCTACGACCGGACAGCCTTTTATATCGACTCTTGAGCTTCGACAATTCAATGGTTCTATGTACTATACTGATTTTGAACAACAGTTCTATCTCAGTGTCTCTGCTAGGATTAATTTCGGTGCGGATGATGAAGCGCCAGTCAGGTATGCTAAATTTATCTTCGTAGAAGGGCTTCACAGCCTACTCTTTGATGTAGGTATTGGTCCAAATGTGTGCAACAAACCACTGCAAAATCGAACTTTGTAATAATTCCCTGACTTAGAATATCTGAGCTAGGAAATTTGTAGTCTGAACTCTTTTCTCAATGACAAAGATTTATGATTTTTAAGGTTATGTATTCTGTGAATTTCAGGTATCCTGATGACCCCTTCGATAGAATGTGGTTATCAGACTCTGTCAAGAAAGCAAATTACCTCGTTGACATTGCTGCTGGAACCAAAAAAGTGTCAACCAAGTTGTCAATTAACATTAATAGCGATGAAAGGCCGCCCGAGAAGGTTATGCAGACAGCTGTAGTTGGCACAAATGGAACACTGACTTACCGCCTGAACCTGGATGGTTTTCCTGGTTTTGGATGGGCATTTACCTACTTCGCAGAAATTGAAGATTTAGCTGAAGATGAGTCTAGAAAGTTTAGGCTAGTACTTCCGGGATATACTGAACTCAGCAAAGCTGTTGTTAATATTGAGGAAAATGCTCAAGGAAAATATCGTCTCTATGAACCAGGGTATACAAACTTATCCTTTCCGTTTGTATTATCGTTCAAATTTGGCAAAACATCTGATTCTTCCAGGGGGCCGCTCTTGAATGCAATGGAGATAAATAAATATCTGGAAATAAATGATGGTTCTCAAGATGGTAAGTTCAACAGTAGTGTCTGGATGGTTTATGGCTCCTTTTCTCACTTGATGCTGTGGTGCTAATTTTTTTGCACGGTTTATGCTTTTACCACATGCTCTTGTTCATCATTCTCTCAAATGAATCTTTTGAAGCTTTCCAGTTATATGTGATACTTGGTTTGTGTGATTTTCAGGAGCTATTATTTCCAGTTTTGTTTCACACTACTCATCGGCAGATTGGACTTCAGAAGGCGGTGATCCATGCCTCCCAGTTCCATGGTCTTGGGTTGAGTGTAACTCAAATCCACAACCAAGAATAGTTAAAATGTAGAGCTTATATTTTTCTAGTTAAAGTTATAGTATGAATTACTACTGCTTCTGCATAGGTATATAGTTCGGAGCTGACAACGACTTTTGTATCCCTTTGCTTGGCAGAAAATTGTCTAGTAAGAATATTACCGGGAATATCCCTTTAGACTTGACAAAGTTGAGCGGTTTAGAAGAGTTGTAAGTTTCATATTGCATTCTTGTTTTTATGAAAGGTATCTAGTGTTTCCATGTTTAGTTTCATAAAACCTGGTGTTTTTGTAGTTTCATCGTTAATATTTGTGTTCTAATTACAGATGGCTTGACGGGAACTCACTGACTGGTACAATACCTGATTTCACTGGATGTGTGGACCTGAAGATTATGTAAGTGATCTTACTTATTCTAACGATGCTTTTCTTAAAGAGATAATACTAAGAAAATAGCTTTGCATTATACAGTCATCTTGAGAACAATCAGTTGACGGGAGGACTCTCCTCTTTCCCGAACCTACCAAGTTTGAAGGAACTGTAAGTTTTCGGGGACTCACATTAGTTTACTTAAAATTGGAGAAAAAATGTGTGAGACTGTGTGTCAGTTGTTCTTTCAAGCAATCAGTCACATGGCCCTCTTTGTGTATATTTTTTATCATTTAATTAAATCATTTTACTGAAATAGTGATTAGTATATAACGTGTGGCTTCCACCACATGCTTCTGGCACAAGTTATACATTAACAGACTTCGGCATTTTTTTCAGCTTAAAAGACCTTCAATGTGTGGGTGCCAGTGTTGTAATTAATGTTATATATTGTCGTCCCATAACTAACAACTTAAGTTTTTGGCTCTCGTAGTTGTCTGACATGGTATTAAAGTTCGGGTTGCTTGATTCCTGGGTTCAGGACCTCCATTCCCCAGTTTCTTCGGTTTTTTTTTATTGCAAGGTGCATGTCTGATAAGTTATACATCGCTTGGCATCTCTACGTACAAGAGGCTGCACATGAAATAAGATGTTAGCGTGAACTACATTTTGGGTCATTCCCTAATCACTTAAGTTTTTGGATGTGTTTGTACTTGAATATTTTCATATGTAAAGATGGTCTAAGATACATTATACCATAAATTCCGTGTCTATTTGAGAAAAACGAATAGAAGATTATTATGACTAAGTACTTGGAAAATAAGTAACTCTTAAGAAATTATTTATGCTGCTCATTTTGCTTTTATTTTCCATTTTTCTAATCAATTTCTGACATGCTGGTTTTTATATAAGATCTTAATCTTAGTGAATCTGATGTTTGCAGGTATGTTCAAAATAATATGTTAAGCGGAACAGTGCCATCGGGTCTTCTCGATAAAGTGGTTAATATGAAGTGAGTGGCATTTTTTGCAAATAAAACTGAAGAGCATGAGAAGAAAGCTATATGTGAATTTTAAAGCTTAAAATCAGTGTAAACCTTGTATTATGTTTATCTGTTTCAATTATAGTAGAAATTAGTGTGTCCTAAAGTAAGTGCACGTCTTCATCCTTATCTTCGTTCATCACATCTCTCTCTCTCTCTCTCTCTCTCTCCCAAAACTATCCAATTTCTCTCTCTACATCACCGCTCTTTTATTTTGTTTTCTGACAGCTACACTGGAAATGTTAATCTTCGGAAAGGGAAAACAAGTGGGAGCCGCACAAACATTATTATTGGTACGTCAGTTGGGGCTGCTGTCTTGGTCATAGCTACTATTGTATCTGGCGTACTTCTACGGAAAGGAAGGAAGAAATGTTACGAGCATGGTACAAGTCTGAAACAACTTTGAGGTTTACATGGTTTTAGTTTTCTCTTCATTTTCAGTTTGCTTGAATGTGGTGACATTATTCTAACTTGCTACAGACCAACTTGGGCATCCACCTGCGCAAGGAATACATTTTTCTAAGAGTGATGCTCCTAATGAATCTGCACACTGCTTCTCTTATGCCGAAATTGAAGAGGCCACTAGAAAGTTTGAGAAGAAAATAGGTTCCGGAGGTTTTGGAGTTGTTTACTACGGTAAAATGAAGGATGAAAAGGAAATTGCTGTCAAAGTTCTAACCAGCAATTCCTTCCAGGGAAAGCGAGAATTTTCAAATGAGGTTAGTTTTTGTAATATTGGACATCTTTTACATTTCAGGTTGCTTTTTCTTTCTTTGAGAGGATGCTTAACCCTGTCTGTTTGCTACTGTGGTAGACTGGTAGTGCCTGTTTGTATCTTTCTATTTATTGAACCGGTGATGATTCTTCTTTTTCTTGGGGTCGAAAATTTATTTCTTATTTTTGTTATGTTTCCCATGCATATAAAATATGAAATGTAAACTAGTGGCAAACAACTGCTTGGAAACCTCTACCAATTTAGGAAGAAATAATTAACAGAAAGTTAAGTTGGACAGGGAATTCCAAGGATTAAAGTGTTTCCACATAACCTCGAATTTGCATTGATATATTTTTCTCTAAATCATAAAATATTCCGATTTTGCATCACTTTTGGAAACTAAATGGGATCAAGCAGGGGTGTTTTTAGAATTTCTCCGCTGTTCCCTTCTAGTGTAGAAGAGCATTCATAAAGAAAATTTCTCTCGTTGTTCTAGACATATCCTGTCACTTGACATTTACTGTTGGATGTCAAAACTGGAACTGTACGGACTGACATATGCTTCGATATCATCTAGGTAACTCTTCTTTCGAGGATACATCATAGAAACCTGGTACAGTTTCTTGGGTATTGCCAAGAGGATGGAAGAAGTATGCTGATTTACGAGTTTATGCATAATGGAACTCTCAAGGAACATCTTTATGGTAAGCTTCCTTGTTATTCATTGAATCTATCGAAATTTGGACAGCGAAAGAGTTTTGAATTGTTTGTATTTTGTAGGCCCATTAACACGCGAACAGAGTATCAATTGGATCAAACGCCTTGAGATTGCTGAAGATGCTGCAAAAGGTCTAACAAGCTAAAGAGTTCTCGTTCGTTATTATTTCACTTTTAAGTAGCAGCCAAAGTGCCTTTTCCATAGTTATATTATTATTAATTCATGGTCTTTCTCGTGGTTGTTCAGGAATCGAATACCTTCACACAGGCTGTGTTCCAGCCATCATTCATAGAGATTTAAAAAGCAGCAACATTTTAATTGACAAACACATGAGAGCAAAGGTTTCAGATTTTGGTCTTTCCAAACTTGCAGTAGATGGGGCATCCCATGTGTCAAGCATAGTTCGGGGCACTGTAGGGTATCTGGATCCCGAGTAAGGCCTGATTTCCATAGAAGTTTCTGTTTCTCTTTGAGTTCAAATCTACCATCATATTGAGATAAATATATTACTGCTTCTGTTGTTGAGTGACCGTAAAGCGGTAAATGCCTTCCTTTGTAGGGTGCTCCAATTGGTAATTCAATTGTGCTATACATAGTAGGGCTTTAGGAGATAGCGACTGCACAATAGTTATACTTAATGTCTGACTACTCACAAAAGCAATCAAAATAAAATAATTTCTGCCACGGAAGTCTCTGTTGAAAGCCGTTCTCAGTATTTTCCTTCTGTATTTATTACAGTAAATACATAATAAGAGCTTTTTTGGTCATGCACAATGATCAAAATTGAACTGAACCGTAAATTTTACAATTTCATTTCTTACCCCGTATTTCTGTGCGTTAAATTGACTTCTTTGTCGTCATTGGTGTTCAGGTATTACATCTCCCAGCAGTTGACAGACAAGAGTGACGTTTACAGTTTCGGTGTCATTCTGCTTGAGCTGATATCAGGTCAAGAAGCGATATCTAATGAAAACTTTGGTGTTAACTGCCGTAACATAGTGCAATGGGTAAGTGTAGTTTGCTTGGCATTGCAGTGAAGTATTTGAAACTTTTGATCACTGGCCGTGAACTTTTGATCAGTACTAATACTGAAAGTAAAACATTGGCATAATACTTAGAATTACCATCATTATGAGTTGTTCCCTTTCTTACCTGTGAAAATGGTTTGTCACAGGCAAAATTACACATTGAGAGTGGTGACATTCAAGGAATAATCGACCCCTCACTGGATGGTGAATACGACATCCAGTCAATGTGGAAGATAGCAGAAAAAGCCTTAATGTGTGTTCAAGCACACGGATTCATGAGGCCTTCCATGTCAGAAGTTCTCAAAGAAATCCAAGATGCAATCTCAATGGAAAGGGATGCCGGAGCAGTAAGAGAAGGTAACTCAGATATATCGAGGAATTCAATCCATTCAATTCATTCTTCCTTGAACACGGGTTCCCTGGACCTTGGCAGAAATGATAATTTCTTGTCGATCGATGAGTCTATCACACGGCCAACTGCTCGATAGTAATTCGGTTGGCTTACATGACGTATAAATATTTTTCTTCGACTATCGTAATCTTTGGTTGTACATCGAGTTTGCATTAGTATGACTCTTACTCTTAGCCATGTCGGTAAGTGTAGGAAGGAGAAAGGGATCAAAATAGCTACGATTTTAGGTTGCATGTTTTGATGGTGCAAAATTATTAGCATAATGGAATGCTGTATTGAATTTTTGATTGAGCGCCCTTTACAAGAAGTGTTGTGTGGAAGCGTCAACCAATAAGTTCAAGATTATGTGCGAGAAAATAAACTAATTACAACAAGAACACTGAAATTTATACTGGTTCGGCTATGTTAGATTGACAAAGATTTACGAGAGATGTGCAACACTCCAACATCTCACATCTCTCGTCAACAATTAATCGCACGAAAGAAATGGCCGTCGCAATGAACATCGACATGGTCTTGAAGAACCCGAAGTCACGAACCAACCCTTGAAGCCGAATAGCTTCCTTCTTGGAAATAATAAAACACGACTGTACACAAAATATACCGTAAAATCCATTTTGCAACTTGTCAACGTCCTTTCCTCTGATTATCATGTATCGACTCACAATACCAACCGCTTGTGAAATATGAAGTCAAGTAAAAATTATAGCAGACATCAAATTACAACATCATTTGTGCCAGGAGACGTTGAAACACTAAGTTTGAAAAAAGAGTTAAAAGGTGTACTGATTTGGACTTGTCATCGATCCTGACAAGCCGTAGATTGAAAAAATAAACACAATGGCCATGACTTCTTGTGTATTTCTGGCCAATCATAAACTGATCAAATTACTTGTCCAATTGTCGTGGAGACTATTTCAACTCATACAATAAGTTTATTGTTGAAAATAATAGTGGGGAATGAATGCCCACATAGAAACTGAAGACATTGGGTAGATTTTCAATGCCCATAAAAATTAATCTTGACTTGGGAGATGAAGAAAGATCATATTGTCAAAGATGTGTGCTTGGAGTTGCTCTATAAATAGAGCACTCCGTATGCTTTCAATACAGAGCATAGAGAGAAAGAGAGGAGGGAAGAGAAAGAAAGAGAGGAAGAGGAGAGGAGAGAATAAATAGAGTTATCTTTATACTCCTATTATTCCAAATTATAATAAAAGCACCACAACTGCCCGAGGACGTACTCCAGTCACACTGACTGTAGAGGAACCTCATAAATTTTGGGTCTTGTTTTATTTATTCCACTGCACACACACCATCGATTTTACAACACGTTATCAGCACGAGAAGCTCTCATGTTAGTGGAAAGCACAACGCCATAAATCCGGTGAAGCACTATCTACCTCTCACCTCCGTCATCTAAAATCTCACAGAATAAAAGGTATGTCCATTTTTCGTCTCTCCCACTACGCCAGAAGCACCCCACCGAATTCCGGTGAGAATTGAAATTTACGACCTGAAGTCGTCACGAGATGAGAAAACTCGTACCTGACAACTGGTTTCCAGAGATCCAGAAGAATCTCATCAGACTTGGAAACCCAGATCACGTTGTTTTCGACGCATCTCGAGAACTCCCATGAATACTTGGTTGTTTGAGATGGTGATGGCAAGAATGAATCCACACAGGCCTCCCTCTCTTGTGCATCTGTCAACCCCACTGTCATCTATGTCTCTTTAAGAAGGTTCTTGCTTAACGATGCCATGTTCCCTGGGTCATGCAAGAACAATGCCAGTCTCTAGTAGCCTTTTGGATTGAATTGAATTTGGGCAACCTCCACAACTACCCAACTAGCCCTGTTCGAGATTGGCAGAGACAGAGAAGGAAGAAAAATAATAGAAAAGGGGGATTGATGGAATGGTAAGGCACACGTGAAGAAGAAAAGAAAAAAAAAAGGTGTTGACTGCACCCTAAGAAAAAAAAATATATAAAGGGATTTGAATGGTGCACGACACCATTTGGTCAAAATAATATAAGGGTTTATGTTGGTGCATGGCACCATGCTGCAGAAATAAGAAAGGTACCAATAATAAGGTTTGAATAAGTGCTGACAAAAGAAAGAAAAATAATAAATAAAAGGAGGTATGATACTTCTTGTTATATATGTGAATTGGTGTTGGTTTAAAACTCTTTCACAAGTTCTATTTACTTTAAAGAAATTTATTTCTCATGGAAGGTTTTACCGCCTACTGTTTTAAGTTTTGATTTATGTGAATGGTGCTGAATTAAAGCCCTTGTCACAAACTTTATTTACTTAAATGCAATTTATTCACTATGACTGGAATTACTGTTTATTGCTTTAATTTATTTATTTTACTTCTTTTTGTTACGATGAGTACATACTGGACCCGAAGTTCCTTGATCAGATCAGAACATGAAGTTTCTTGATCCTCATCATATAAAAAATGATTGGACCCGAAGTTCCATCATACAAAAAGATCGGACATGAAGTCCCTTGATCCTCAAGATCAGGACATAAAGTTCCTTGATGAGTACAATAAGTTTGAAGTGTCGCAGTGCCTCAACTTAACTGTAATAAAAGACATAAGAGTCTCAGTCTACAGACTATTAAATAAGGACCAAAAGTTTCTTATGTCCATACTCAAAAATAGTTTAGCAGAATCATTTATTAAGCGGATGAAATAGATTACCCGCGCTTTGCTCATGGAAACAAAATTGCCAGTTTTTACATGGGTACATGCTATTTTGCATGATGCATTATTAATTCGGTTGAAATTTTTTACCAACCATCAATACTTCTCAGTACAACTCGTATTTGGGAACCAGTCAAACATTATATGTTTACAAGTTTTTGGTTATGTTATCTATGTGCTTGTTGAACTGCCACAACATACTGAAATAAAGCATCATTGCAGATTAGGCATTGATGTTGAACATCATCTATCATTCAATATTTAGAACTCTTGACTGAGGATATGTTTACCGCATAGTTTGCAGATTGTCATCTTGATAAGACAATTTTCCAACCATTAGGGGGAGAAAATAACATCGTTCCAAAAGAACGATGAGAAAATGTCATTCCAAAAGAATGATAAGAAAAGACCGTTCCAGAAAAACGAAGAGAATTTATCTTATTTTGATTCACAAAGCAATCAATGTGAAAATGAAGTAAAAATGATGCAATGATGTGTCAATCAAATGCCAGATGCATTTAATAATGCAACAAAAGTGATAAAATCACATATACTTGCTGCAAATGTGCTTACAAGAATTAATGTCTCTGTTGGACAAAATATAGTGATGTAGTAAATAATTTATCTGTTGCATGCCTGAAGCGTAGCAGACCCTTAGACTCAAAAGGTTCATTCCTTCGAAAGAAGGAGAATATGACACTACTGAACTATTGCATTCCCGAAGCATAACTGTTACATGCCGGAAGCATGACAGTCGTCGCATGGATACAAGTCCCAGAAAAGACAGTCCGCAGACATGGGAATATTGATGTCTCATGCATGAAGCATGATAGACGTATAGGTTCCAATGACTCAACTCCTGGAAGTGGAGATTAAAATCCCAACTTTATAACGCTCAAGAAGAGGTTATAATCCACATTCTCTAAATTATGACTATCCTCGAAGAGATAGTGTAATGCCTTTAAAAAGGCAATGGATATCTAAAAGAAATGAAAAGTTTTTATGCATGCGCATGCACATGAGAATAAGGGATCTTGAATTGATGATAACCAATTGTAATTTTGATTTTACAAGTAGCTACTAAATTCATCAATGAGCTATGTTGATATCGAGTCTTGTTCTTTTCCCGTCAACAAAAATTATTGACCAAGAATGGAGAAAGACAATTCCATTACAATTTTGTAAGAACGTGGAAAAATAGACCTATATACTTGAATACAATACAAATAGCAAAAGATGTTGAACCAAGGAGGTCACATATGAGCATTTGTAATACAGTGAAATACACTCACATGATATGACACAAGGTTGGAAACGAGTTCATATAAATGGAGAATTATATACGAAGGGTTATGAGTCGCCACATCATATCTCTATAAGTAAATCCCACAAATATACATGGAAGCAAATTATTATGTATAAATTCCAAAGGAAAATGTGTCATGAAGTGTAGAAAATCTCTGAAGGATTCAAATTGCTTGAAGTAAGCCCTGGAAGGATAAAGCATAAAATATGTACTCAATACTAATAGATGGTATAAATTGCCTTAGTGAGTACTTTCATTATGGTATTGTTGCAACATACTAAAATCTCTTGCAAGAGTTGATGATATTAAATTGAGACTCCTGAAGAGTCAAGAAAGATTATAGAGTGTTGAGAAAAATATTGTCTCGAACTGCAGAATCGAACAATATGTCAACACAAATCTTATCCATAATATTTATGATATTAAAGAATCATATGGATTGAAGATTATGAGTTGAATACTTAAATGATTTAGACGCTAAGAATGATCATTTATTTTCGCGAGAGTAAAGATAAATTGATATTTGGTCCAGAAATACCACATCTTAGTGAAGTATATGCTTTATTGTATTTAGCACAATACACTGAATAAAATAAAGCTTATATATTAATATCTCTGAGAAATTACATACACATGAGTTAAAACAAGCAAACAGGAGGGAACCTTCACAAAGGTTGCTCATGTGAAGCCTCAGTACTCGGAAGTACCCCAGAAGGGGGAGACACCAGAGGTTGATTATTTGGAGTCTGAATACTTGGTGGAACTCCAGATAGCTGAGACAATGAATGTCTTTGGAATAAAGACTCGAACCCCTAATTGTCATTTTGAGTCTGACCTTTGGATTCCAGTAGCTGGTCGAGCTTTCTTTTCATGCTCGTAACATAATTATTTGCAAGCATGTGTAACACTCTATTCTCGTGCTTGAGCCCTTTAATCTCTTGTTTAAGACTTGCCACCTCAGCCATTAATGATTCAACTTGGTGAGTTCGAGCAACTAGGCATTGACCCATATTAGATACAGAGCCCGCACATTGAACATTGAGAGCCAATGAGTCTTGAAGAGTCTTGAACAGCTGCCTCATCAGACTGGTTTGAAAGGATTCTGTTATCCTTTGGAGTGAGAAGATTCATGGCTACCACTGTAACGGTTATGTTATTCTTCATCACAGAGTCCCTAACCGTAAGAGGACCATTAGAAGATGAGAAGGACGGGCACCATATGTTATCCTGACGTTGCTCGTCTGTATCACTCCTGAGACTCAAATC